TTTTATAAAAAACACTTTATTTATATTCAAAAAATCTAAAAAAAATTATAATAAAAAAATTATAATACAATTTTATATTTATTATCAAAAATTCCAATTATTGATCTTTAATAATTACATAATATATATATATATATATATATATATATATATATATATATATATAATTTGAAGAAATTATAAATTAGATGTTAAAAAAATTTAAACATAATTTTCATATATTTTTATTTTGAATGACATCTACTTAATTGATTAATATTTTTAGATATTTATTGACGTTTGGTGTTTAGCAAGTTTAATTTGAATAAAACATATAATAATATTATTCTTACATAATTTAAGTTATTATCTCAGTCCACCTAGTCATTATAAAAAATCGAAAAGATATCAAATTATTATTATTAGATCTTGTTTGATAGTGGCATTGTTCAAATTTAGTTGTTATAGAAATCCGTAGTTTTGAATATGCATTACAAAGCTATTAAATATGTTTGTAAAATATAATTATGTATGAAATAGTTATTTCGTTCACATCTATGAAAAACTTAAAAGATATTTTAAATGTTTAATTATCTTCACTAAAACACAAGCATTTTAGATGTTAAAAATAATGTTTTGACTAGTAGATCCACATTTTATTGTAAAAACTCTTATTGTATAAAACTATGCTATAGTTAAAAATAACATAAAAAAATATTTTTCAGGAGTTGATTTTTAAAAATAAGTTATTCTTCTTGAAGAATTTTTTCAAAATGTTGTAAATTTTTTTTATGTATATATACATCTGTATATGTGTCAAAAAATATAATCAAATAAATACGTATGTAAAGATAAGCACAATTTTTTTTTATTTAGTATTAGATTTATATTTTCTAAGTACATTTAATAATTCTAAAAATTTACAATCATGTTATGATAACAAATCATAAGTTAAATAAAAAATGGAGCTTAATAGTTACATATGAAAAACAAATTGTAATAATATGTAATAGTATATCTAATATTCTCATATCAAGTAGAAACAAAGAAAAACTTGAGACTTGATTTTAGTAAAATTTTGTTTTAAATATTTTAAATTGTGCCAATGGTTATTACTTCTTTATAGTCCAAATTATATTATTTGAATATTTTTAATATACTAAAATTATAAAGAATTTTAATTTTTTGTTATTCATAATTATTTTTATCATATTATATTTATTTTATTTTAATGAAGTACTATATATCTTTTAAATTCAATAAAAAGATATATTTTACACTCAAATTAACTATTATTTTCTTAATTTTGAGAAATATAAAATAAAATTTATTAATAGATGTTTCAAGCACATAATATTCTTTGATATAAAATTTGATAATATCTAATATTACCACTGTGTTGAATAGTTATTTATTTATTTAATTATCCAAGTCTCTTTGTATAAAACTATTGGTTATGTCTTTTATATTTTTAGAAAAAAACTCAATGTCAAGCTAAAGAAGCTTGAGAGGGCCTACCAAAAAATTTGGAAATCAAGATGAATTAAAATTTTTATTAAAAATTAAATAGTATTTCATCAATTCTAGCTAAAAAAATACACCTATTTAATATTTTTAACAAAAATCTAAAAAGCATATATACATGGTATAAGAAAAAATTGATTTTTAATCTTCTATTTATTATGTCAATCTTTTTTTTTTAAAATAAAAACTTTGTTACTTATTTAGCACGAACATATAATACACATTTTGAATGTACAAATTATTTGTAAATATATTGAAATAATATGTAACTACTTTTATCTATAAGATTTTGTTATAAAGTTGTGTTATAAATTTTAAATTAATAAGTATAATTATGTTTATCTTTTAAATCTAAATAGAAAAATGAATAATATAAATTGTAGTAATACTATGTATGTATGTATGTATATATGTATGTATGTATGTATGTATGTATTATTTTTTCCGAATTAATGTTACAATTTGATAATGTTCCTATTTATAATTACTTGTAAAAAAATAAAAATAAAAGTGTTAGCCACAAAAAAATACTTCTTGCAAGAATTGCAAAGATACCATCAAATCCATACATATCTTTTTCATTAAAAAAATCATTTTTGTTATATAACAAGGTATTTTTATACAGATAGTAGTGCATTTTGGATTGAAAATTATCTTTTTTACCTATAAATTTGTGGTTGGCATGATTTGTCTTAAAATTTTTATGCAAATATATTTAGACAACTTTAATTTATATATTTCCATTATTATACATCAAAATATTTAAATCATATTTTTATGTTTTGAGGCTAAATCTAAAAACATATTCTATTACATGGATTTTTTCTATGTTGTACTTACAAGTAACTATCATTAGTTGTAGAATGTATTAATAATCTTTAAAAATCTATCAAAAGCATAGATGATGAGTTCAAAGTCAATATATTTACTTATATAGTATAGAAGAAAATAAAATGTATGAAATATGTATTATATGTTCTCAACAAAAGAATCAAAAAAATTCTACTTAACAAAATTTGTTTATAGGATTTTGCAACCTCAGTATAAAGGTTTTTAAACATCATCTTTAACAATCTTTTAAAAAAATAGTTGCTTTGTTGTTAATTTGCCAAAACATCATCTTTAATAATCTTTTGTCAAGTATTATTTAATTATTTATACAAATAGATAGGCTAGGTTAGAATCACTAAAGATTATTTAATGAGGTAATTTTAAAACTAGTATATCTTCACATTAATACTTAATATTATGTTTTTTTTTAAATGATTAAAATATTTACTACATAAATTAATAATTTGTTACTTAGTTATAATTTTGTTTTTTATATAGAATGGTTGCTTTAATAAGATTTAATAATTTAATTGGAATGATTTGCAATTTTTCTTTCTTGTTGTCTTGTTATTCAAAAAACATTGTTTTTAAAAAAATTGGTTTAGAAATTTTGTTTTTGAAGATAGTATTTTGTAACTTTACTTTAATAGTAAAACTAAAGAAGAAAGAAAAAGAAACATCTTTGATTTTTTTTTTGGTAATTAAAAAATATAAAATTAATAGAGATTCTTGACAGATACATGTATTTAGGATATTGCTAATACAATCACAATTTTTACTATTGCCACTACAATCCTTCATCTATCACATACCACCTACACCCCTTGTCAATGCTACATATTGGAAATATACAAAATCTTCATTACAAATACACATACTAAAACTTGTGTGTTGTAATATCCACAAAAATACTTATTGAAACAAAAGAAACTAAAAATATTCATTGAGTGGCAAGTTGTAGTGGCATTAGGAACACCCTATATATATACACATACATACATATATATATATATATATATATATATATATTCAAAGTCTTAAAATGTTTTAGAAACCAAAACCACAAGATTCATATGGATGCATACTTTTACTGCTGTCAGCTTAGTATATGAATAAATTTTCTTATTTTCACTAAATTTTCTTCCTCATTATTTTAGTGGTATTACTACAATAGGCCTATGTGGTACTTGATTAGGATGTTTGCATTGTGGTTCGTTAATGTTTTGCATATCGTTGTACATCATTAACTTGCTTTGATACCACAGCAGCAAAGCAAGGACCCATGACACCACTACATGTGTAGGTAAATGAAAGGAAAAATCAGACATATGGTCCACAAAAGTGTCCAGGGTGCAGTCTGAAAATATCCCTTTCAACTTTAGTAGAGGCAATGAATTTAAAATGATCGCATTCATTTACATTTCTGGATGGTTTAAGTATCTTCCTCTATTCAATTGCTTGTAGAGGAGCTAACTTGACTATCAGCGAACTATGACCCACCAGAAGTGGGGACGAAGTTAGATGTCTGTGTACAAGACAGCAGTGTTGTGGCCCAGTCCATGCCAACTTCTCTTTAAGTCAAGTATTGCTCGAAGGCAATTAGAGTAGTAGTCTCGCCAATTTCATGAGCGCCCAGCAGAACACAAGGGTTTGCTAAAAAATACTCGCTGGAGAAGTGCACACTTTGATAGGTATTCTCAGATTTAAGACCTGTTAATATTTCAGGCCTTAAATCACTCCATTGCCTCCGTAACGCACATCTAGAATACTCCTGCACTTAAGGGATTACTGGAAGGAAGTCGGTTGTGATTGTGAATGTATCAAAACTACATAGATCCAATGTAGAGAGGCACGGCGACAAGAAACCAGGGTGGGAATGTGAGACGATGAGTAATAACAAACAAACATATGTGATATCATAAAATCTCCGAGCAAGTTCTTAAAGCTGGTTAGAAGGGAAAACAGGAGACGTCGAGTAGATGATAATGAAAAATTGTAGAGTGTACTTCAAACTTCAAAGAAAAAAACAAAATAAAACAAAGAAGCTGAGAAAATGTTCTCCCACCACCAGGACAATCCTAACAATGTGGCACATTCGACAGGTGAGCCCAGTTTCAGTACAACTGTGCAGTAGACTAACGCCAAGATTCTTTGACATGCCCAAATATTGCAAAATCACAGAAGCATATTTCCATTAATCTACCGCCTGCCGCATATTCGAAATGGTAGGCCCGTTTAAAACTCAAAATTAGACGCTACAATCTATAGACGTACGAACTGCTTTCACGGTGCGTGAGACAGTCCGGACGCTTCCTACACATGTAGCAAATTCCTAGATGAAATAACTTCGTTCCTCCGTTTAAGAACTTCAGAACATACATAACAGGAAAATCCTGTTTATTAATGCAGATCTCACCTGACTAACGTGTTGGCAACTTGGGTTGGGCAGACCCGTACACTGATACCAGAGCGGAAGCGATACACTCAATTTCAAATCCCCCAACTCACCAGGTAATAGAAAACAGGTTAACACAACCAACTCAAGTAACTCTGAATAAATTCCCATAATACTCAACGTCTTAAGAAAATGAATACGAAATAACTGAGACGTCGGTGACACGATGGACACGACAAACGCACCTGTGCATTCAAAACTCACCCATGCGGAAAAAGATAACGATAAACTTTATATGAGATTTGTCAACTACTCGAAAAACATCCAGCACCAATGCGATGCAGGGCAATCAAAATACCCTACCATATCCACGATACTATCATATGATTCCACCAAAACCCTAGAATAAACGCTTACTGTAGTGCAGGGATGCATAACATTAACGTAAAATTTCAATCGTACAAGGGGTTCGTTAAGAACAGAGATTAAAGCATCTCTATTCCGGCGAAACAACCTCCATTTTCTCCGATTCCCCTAACCATTCCTGCCCAACGAAGAGCCGGAAAAACCTAAACAATGCACCAACTCACGTAGGGCTCATCGCCAACTATATCATTCCATCAGCTACCGATCCCTCTACAAGTCGTGGACAGTAAGACCAGGGGGCAGGGACTGCTTCAGCTTGTTGGCCTTGTCAGAGTCGGAAACGCACAAGGTGTACAGGTTCTTGGAGCACCTCACTTTGAATTTTACCACATCCTTGGAGCGCTTAATCTTAACGCTCCGGGCGTCCTTGCGCCGGGCTGTGAGCAGGAAGTCCTTGATCTCGTTGATTTGCCTCGGCATGGTGACAGGCGGGGCTTGCTCAACTGCACGAGAGGGTTAGTGAGGGCTATGGCGGCCCCGGCGAACACCAGAAGCATGAATTTCCACAGCAACGCGAAAGACTTCCAATGATAAACCTCCTTCAACTTAATCCGAACCCTAAATCCCTGTTCGCGCTCCCAAACTCAATATGACTGTTCCCACGTTGATTACCGTTCCATTCTGTCAAGAACTTTAGGGTTTCCTCACACCTGACATTACAGTCTCTTTCAGTGAACCTTGCCACCGTCGATTTTGAGTTGGATCGTAGGGCGTGTAGAAACCTCCACGACTTGAGATTCTACGTGGGGAACGTTGGGGAATGCAAGTCAGCAACGGAGGCAAAACTTGTGAGCGAAAGAATTCGTAATTGTGCCAGCATGATATTCCAAATTTACAATACACTTGACTCCTCTTTCTGGAGTTTGAGGTAGTATAACCAATGAATTATTGTGGGAAAAAATAAATAAATTAGAAAAATAACAAACCAAAAGTACAATAAAAAATGAGATTATATAGTTTTATTGTTCAATAATGTGCATATATTATTAACAAATTAACATTTTTTTTTTAAATATGTAGAGTTCTTTTTACAAATAAATATCATCCATTTTTAGAAAATATTAATTATTAGAGGTGGTGCATAAAAAGCAAGATAGAAATCATTCTTATCAAGGTCCTATAATCTATGCTGCTTGCTTCCATTGTGGTGGTGATGTGACCTTACTTTGCCTACGCATATACATAGCCATACGGCCCTGCCACCTACATGACCTTTGCTAATTATTTATGTAAATTAATATAATTTAATGAAAAATCAATAAATTATTATAAATTATAGGTTATTAATTATGCTCCATAAAAAAAAGTTGGGGAGAAAACTACATATATTTATATTTGTATCTTATCTACAAATTATCATAATAGAATTAAGTATATATATATATATATATATATATATATTTTCTTCAATAACATGTTAAAGCAAATCATTGAGGTATTATATTTCTATCTATAATCATACAATAGTGCATGATTTTGTGACAAGAAAATTGATCACTAGAATACCAATGTTTAAAAAAAAGCTTTCATGTTGCAACATAATCAATAAGATTCATAGGCTAAATGTATTTATTTTTATTTCTATTTATAATTACAAAATGGTATCTAATTTTGTGATGAAAAAACTAATAATCTTTATTGTTGTACATATAAATGTTGTAGAATCTCAAAATTATTACTTAGAAGATCTTGGTTTCAATTACAACTCATATTGTGCACCAAGCATGTATTAAGTTAAAGAAATGGTTGTTAAAAATAAATTTTAATTTTTGTTAATTGATATTTGATGTTATTAAATTATTAGTGAATTATTATTAAATCACTTTTAGCTTCTTCTTCTTTATATAATTTTTTTGTGTTCAAACAAATACCTCTTACTTTGACAAAGAAGACACTTGTATGTGATAGAATAAATTATGTAATAATTATTTTTATTTTATTATAATGGTTTAAAATAATAAAATATAAAGTGAAGCTTTAACATATATTTACCTTATAAAAAATATAAGACTATTTAATATTATATTATAAAATTTTAAAAGATTAGATAGAAATAAAATATTTTATTTTAATATGAATGGTTTTGTAGTAATCATTTTTTACTATATTATTATTAATTCTTTTCTTATAAAACTTTTTCATTAATGCAACGGCTACTATTTTGCTAGTATAATCAAACATCTTTCAAAGCTTCCAAGAAAAAATTACATATAATATTTGATCTCTTATATAAAACAATTCATGGAAGAACAAATATACTAAATAAACAAGAAGAGACAAAAATCTTCTCTAATTTGTTGCATGCCTCATTGTTTTTATTTTAAAAAAAAAATCATCAAAAATATCGAAAGTGAAGCAAAAATAGAATTTGTATGGCTTTAATAGAACTTATGCCATTAGCTACAATTTTTTTATGTAACTTAAATTTTCCTTAATATAGACATTATGGTATGTGATCCCATATTGTTGTCATGTAAATAGTATTCTATAGAGATTTTGTACTACAATATTTAAAATAATTTGTCTATTTACTTTTTTATGCATTGAAGATAGGTTTGAAAGTCGTTGTTGATCATATTGGGAGGAATAAGGATATATTTGTCACAAACATACATATACATTTAAATACGAAGTACAAGGTAGAAAATAAATATAGATAGATTTGATATTATCTTGTAGCAAAGCTTCTTAAAAGCTTCATAGACATATATTTGACTTTATACATATTTATAGGTGGTTGGTAGGTTAGAAACGTGAATAATAATACAGCCACATGTCACACTATCAAGGATAAGAACTTGATGAAAGCAAATAAATAAGTGGGACTTTCTCAAAGAAGTATGACAAAATAGAAATAAAAAAGTATATATATTAAAAAGAAATTGGAATGGCTATTGCCAAAAGATAAGAAAACTACAAATTCTTAAAATTAGACTAGAAGCAAGAAAAGAGTTGAGAAGAGTGAGGAAGGCTTCATTCTTATTTCTATATATACTATCTATATAGGAGCTACATGGCAATATTCTATAGGATCTGTAAAATGTGTTGACTTTAAAAACATATGTTTTAACTTGCAAGGCAAGTTTTCTATATGGGAGCCACATAGTTATCTTATTCTACAAGCTACCAACACGTGTGATATGTAGCTAACTTGCTGACTAAATCTCTAACCTATCAATCAACTAAAAATACATGTAAAGTCAAAGTAATGTCTATGAAGCTTCTAAGAAGCTTTTCTAGAAGTTAATATAAAATTAATTGATTTTTATTTATTTATATTATTTAGATAGTAATTACGATAAATATATGTGCATGGTATTACTTCCCCTTTTGAAAATGAGTTCTACAAAGAGCAATGATCAAATACTATGAAAGTCTAAAAAGTGGTAAATTGAATTTGCCACAAACTTTGAATTTTTTTCACTTTGAAGGTAGTTAATAGGTCTTCTCAGCTATTGATAATATCCCATTCTAAGGTGGAAAGACCATGTTGTTATTTAATCATTGTTAAGACCTTCATAACTTTCTTTAAACAAAATATTTATAATACCATCATGAATTGTTTCTACCTCTAATAAAATCACCAAACACCTAGACTTCTTTCATAGGTCATAATACCAAATTTGTTGTATCTTGCCATCTATTTGAAAAAGGACATGTTGTTCTTGAAGATCTTCATTTTTATTATATTATCTTAAAGGATATAATAATTGCAATGTCTCATCCAATAAGTTAGCAAATGATGGCTCTTGAGTTAAATGTGCAATCTATTGTTTCTTCAATTTTTTAATATTATTTTAGTAATTTCTTAATATTACTTCAATAAGCAACTGGATTGACTTATTTACAAATAAGAAATGGTCCAAATCTATAGTAATCCAATTATTATTGAATGTAGCTCAAATAAATGATTTTTCAAATCTTTTGGCATAAGTTTATTAATTTTTGAAAAGTCATAAGAATCAAGTTGTAGATAGTAACCATAATTAATAAAGAAAGGTGTTTGTTGTGTAGATGAATATATTGTATTATTGTAAGAAAATTCTATCAATGGAAAAAGAGTTGTTTAATCATCTTATTGATGATTGATGATATATCTCAAATATTGCTCCAAAATTTAATTTACATGCTTTGTTTGTCCATCAATTTGAAGATGAAAAGTCAAAGATAGTTTTATTTCTACCTTTAAAATCTTGAAAAGTACTTTTCAAAATCTTAATACAAATTAAATTCTTCTATTCAATATAATATTTCTAAGCAATCCATGATAGAAATAAGAAAAAATTTGGTTGTTTCTTCACTTGTGATAGATTTTGTACATAGTATAAAATGTGCCATCATGGTGAAATGGTCTACTATTACAAATATAGAGTCATAAAAACCTAAGTCTAAAAGATTTGTGATAAAATCTACATAAACAAAAGACAATGATTGTTCTAAAATGGATAATGGCTGAAGAAGTTATAAGGTTGATGATGAGGAGTTTTTGATCGTGCACAAACATTATAGGATTATACAAGGTCTTTATTTGTTTTTTACATTTGAAGCCACCAAAAATTCTTAGATATTAGTTCTAAAGTCTTATTATATCTAAAATGTTGTGCTGCTAGAAAGTCATAATAAACTTGAAGAACATGTAATCAAATTTTATCTTCTAAATATAATCATTCTTTGAAATATAGTAAATTATTCTTAAATTCAAATTTAGAAATACCATAAGATTATCAATGATTTTTCTTAATGTCATGAAAAAAAAGATTAAAAGATATATTTAACTAAATTTGCTTAATAAAAGTTGAATCAACAATTAATATTTATTTCATTACTTAGAGATGAAGATGCTTTGGCTTCAAGTGAATTATTCATAATTGATCAAAAGTCACATTTTTTTTCTTTGATACAAAATAAGATTATCTAAAAATTACATTTGAAAAACTTTGTTATTTTTTTAATCAATAAGTGATCTTTAATTTGAATCTTGATAAGGACATACTGTAATGGACTGTCAAGGACAAGAACTCGATGAAAGCTAAAGAGTAAGTGAGACTTTTCTCAAAAAGAAATAGGACAAAATAGAAATATGTATATTAAAAAAGAAACTGGAATGGCTATTGCCAAAATACAAGAAAAACTAGAGACCCTTGAAACTAGACTAGAAGCAAGAAAGGAGTTGACAAGAGTGAAGAGGGCTTCACTCTTGCCTCTATATATACTATCTAACTAGAAGCCACGTGGCGATGTTCTATAAGACCTCCAATATATGTTGACTTTCTAGGCCACATGCCTTTGCTTGCAAGGCAAGTTTTCTATGGATGGACCACGTAGTTAGCTTGTTCTTTAAGCTTCCAACATGTGTGGCACATGGCTAACTTGTTGACCAAGTTTCTAACCTAAAAGTCAACTATAGACTCCTATAAAGTCAAAGCAGCGTCTATGAAGCTTCTAAGAAGCTTCTCTAGAAGATATTACACAATTAACCTACTTTTATCTACTTTTACATACTTTTATCTATTCATATAGGTAATTATATGTATGTCCGTGACATTAC